TACTGAAGGGCTACTTCTACCAGAAAAATCAAAAGAAAACTTTAAAAAAAGCAAATCCTACATTCACAGAAATTTTAACAATGAGCATTTCATGGGTAAAACTCACCTGTTGCTGCTTTGGGGTGCCTGTACACGCTTTGCCATTTGTCTGCCAAGGGGGTGAATACGCAGAGGGGTTCCTGCTTTCCCCAGGCCCCGCTCCTGTGAGCCACACCCACACCCCATTATGGTACAGTGCAAGTTTGCAGGACAGAAAATGTGGTGGGTGTATTTTACCCCCTGTGATGCAACATACACAAGAAATGCTACATGGAGCGTTATGTGGGTAAAAATCCCGGTTTGACAATTTTGCATACATGCACATGTCTTTCTGTTCGTCTTACCAAGTAGGTAAATACAAAGATTATTTGGTATATCTCCCAGGTGCAGCTGCTGAGAGGTATAGCCAGCTACTCTAATGCTAAAGTACAAATTTTCATTAGAAAAGTATGGCAATGTGTTTATGCAACTCAATATTAGGCCCTTTACATTAAAGATGGTGTTATGTTAATGAGGATTTTAAGCAGGAGAACGACTTGATCAGTTGAGATGCCCAACAGCTTGTTGGAAATATGTACTTGAAACTCAGAAAATTAGTTGGGGACATAGTATAATTTTACCTAGGGCATTATAATAATGGTTAAAAAGTGCTTCCTCATTATTTGTGAAGACCAACAAGTAAAATAAAAATTACATTATAATATGCTCAGTGTCATAGTGTAAAGAATTATGGATTTAGAATAGAGGAGGAGAGTCACTTTGGGGACCATACATTTAGTAGTCATGAGTGTATCAGTGGTATTCGATATTGGAAATATCAATGAGGTTTTCTAGAGAAATCATTTAGAGACAGAGGTGAAATAACGGAGGGTATCACCCTGGGAAAAAGCAACTTTTTAGGACAGTAGATGAAGAAGAATCACATAAAGCATAATTTTAACATTGGATTATAAGCAGGTTGCACAATCAGTGTAGTGAGGGCTAGATCAGTATGGTTGGCTATAGGCAGAATTTTTAAAGTATGTGCTAGAAAAGAGTAGAAAATATGAGGGTGTGTGTAGTAAGGGTAATTATTGTTTTGTGAAATTTTATTCCAATGTGTGTTCTTACATGTGTGTACTAGGAGCAGTGCTTAAAGTATTTGTTATGGGCTCTCACAGACTCTAAAAAATAAGGAGACTAAGGAAGAGCAATCAGAAAGAATTCTGTCACCTTGGTTCTTCACTACTGTGGTAGCAAGGAAGAAAATGAACCCAGTGAGAGCGCAGGGGGAAGGACAGTTGGTCTTATGGGCTAGAGGCCACTCTGTCTCCCCACAGGCCACCTTTACTACATGAGTTTCTGGGAGGAAGATTACAAAGACGTAAGAGGAGACCTTTAAGATATAGAACTCAAAGACAGAGAGAGGCGGAGATAGAGAATATGAAGTAGGGAGAGCAAATCCTGTGGAAGCTTAATGTTTATCCTGTCCCTACTCTTAGGCTATATTCTCCAGCACCGTGGCCCACCTTGGATTTACCCAGTGTATCAAGTCACCTCCTCATTTATGGGTAGAGCAAGGACAGAGCTGGAGAAAGGGTCCAACATTGTGCAGAGTCAAAATTATGGTGTAGGATATCTATAATAGAAGTTATCGAGAGATGAGCTATGGGTAAACAGCTGTTACTAGCACTTTAATGAATTATCTTACCAAATAAGTTAGTATTTTTAAAGCCCTTAGGTTTTGTCTTGTGTGTGGTAATCATTCAGACAATCTGGCCGTTATTAACTGATTAGTGTACAGGGTAAGCCCTCTGTAGGTTTTGGCCGTTATTCAGTTATTGGGTACTAGAATAGTTACTAATTATCACCATCATACTAGTACAGAAAGGCATTATAAAGTTAAGTAACTTGCTGAAGATCGAGTAACTAGAGAGAAATGGAATCCATTCCTTCAGAGTGAGACAGTTTAGAGTAGGTATATGGTGAATTACATGATGACTATTCCTGAACTAGGATGTGTGGTAGACAAATCTAGCAGTGATTCCAGGAAACTTTAAGAAAGGGTGTGTCATCGGTGCTGTAGCACTTGGCCGTCTGTGCGTCTCTTTCTTATGCCCTGGTTGCTGTGGCTGTGCCTGCTCTTGCTGCCGTCATCAGCTGCTCAGTGAGGAGAGACAGCCTCAGGTGTGTGGCTCCTTTTCCGTCGCCACAGAAATGGCTGCTTCCCAGGTGGACATTCTCAGCTGACCAAACTCCTAGCTGTTCTTGTTCTTCTGCTCCCCCACGCTCATGTCAGGCCTCAGACTTTGTATTCATTGCTTTGTTGGCGTCCCATCCAGATGGCAGGTGTGTTGGCTTCATGGTTCCTCAATCAGAGTTTTCTACCTGTGGTTCCTAGTCTTGGATGAGTTCTTTTTATTTTTATTAGTACGGGTTTGTAGCGATTACATTGATTGTGGGGAGGTGTGTGCGCAGAACAATCTTCATTCTCGTTGCATTCCCTTTCCCTCCCTCCCTCCCTGCTCCTTCCCATCTCTTGGTCCTCTTTCCATTTGCAAAAGATCGGTGTCCTTTTCAATTCCTTTTTCATCTCCTCTCCCTCCTCCCCCTCCCTCCATCTCTTGATCCTCTTCCCATTTGTGAAAGATCTCCCTACTTCCTATCATCTATCTTTCATTTGCTCTTTGTTTCTAGTTTGGGTTTTTCATATATGAGAAACCATGTGATATTTAAGCTTGTGTATCTGATTTCTTCCATTTAACATTATGTTCTCAAGGTGCGTCAATTTACCTACGAATGATTCAAGTTTGTCCTTTATGGCAGAGTAGCACTCCCGCTGTGCGTAAATACCACACTTTCCTTATCCATTTGTCTTTTGGTGGGCATTTGGGCTGTGTCAGGATTCAGCTTTTGTGTATTATGCTCCTATAAACATGAGTATGTGTATCTCTTTCATATGATATCTTTACCTTTTTCTGGAAGATGCTTATAATGGGACTAACTGCGTCAAATGCAATTTCTAATTATCGTTTCTTGAGGAATACTGATTTCCACAGTGGTTATACAAGTGTACATTCCCACCAACAATGCAGAAGGGCTCTTCTTTCCTTTCAGCTTCACCAGCATTTGTTATCATTTGATTTCTTGTTGATAGATACTCTTTCTGGAGTAAGATGGAATTTCAGGTATTTAAAAAAAATTTTCATTTCTCTAGTGGCCAGCAATGTTGAACACATTTTAATGTATTTGTTGACTGTTTGTACTTCTTCTCCTGAGGCGTGTATGTTCATTTCACTTGTCCAGGTTTTCTTTCTTTTTTTTTTTTTTTTTGTATATTTTTTTGAGACAGGGTCTCGCTATGCAGTTCAGGCTGGCCTGAAGCCCAGGCTGGTCTGAAATTCACAATGATCCTCCTGCCTCAGCCTTCTGAGTGCTGGGATTACAGGCATGTGCCGCCACACCCAGCTCCCCACTTACACAGTTTTTGATTGCATCTTTTATTTTGAGAAGCCTAATTTTTTTGAGTTCTTTATATATTCTAGATCTTAGTCCTTTGAGGAACAGTGGCAAATTTTTTTTCCCATTCTATATGTTGTCTCTTCACTCTGTTTATTTCTTTTGCTATAAAGAAGCTTCTTAATTTGATATAGTCCCATATGTTGATTCTTGGTACTATTTCGTGTACCATTAGGGTTTGGTTTAGAAAGTCCTTGCCTGTAGCTTTCTTTAGGAATTTTACCTATTTTATCTTCCAGCAGATTTTTTCCATTTTAACATTTAGATCTCTGGTCCATTTTGATACTAGTTTGGTACGTGGTGAGATATATGGGGCTAGACTCAGTCTTCTGCGTGTGGAAAACCACTTTTCCTTGCATCATTTATTAAAGAGCTGTCTTTCCTCCAGTATATGTTTTTTGGCTCCTTTGCCAAAGATCAAATTGATGAATATTCTAGATTTTTTTTTTTTTTACTTTTGTTTTTCTGTTCTGTTGATCCACATACCTGTTTTTGTGCTAGTTGTAGTACTGTGCTGTTTTTATCACTGTAGCATTTTAATATAACTTCCAACTTGGGATTATCATACCTCCTGATTTGCTCTTGTTGCTGAGGATTGCTTTTGCTATTCTTGGTCTCTTCTGGTTCTGTATGAATTTTATGATTGTTTTCTCTAGATTTGTGAAGAATGCTGTTGGTATTTTGATTAGATTTATGTGAAATCTTTGTATCAGTTTTTGAAGTATGGTCATTTTAACTACATTGATTCTGCCTAGCCAAGAACATGGAATATTTTTCAGTTTTCCTATGTCTTCTTTAATCTCCTTTTCTTAGAATGCTCCATTTACATTGTAGAGGTCTCTGGCTTCTTTTGGATGAATTCCTACAGCAAATGCTTTTCAATTCTTGCTCCATCCATCCTTAGGCACAGCTAGACTCAGGATTCCTAGGATGAATGCTACTTACTAGGCTTAAACTTGGAAAAAAGGTCAAGGTGGGGGAATCCCTGCACTCTTAATGATTATCCTTTTCCTTGTAGTTTTTGGTTTTGTTTTGTTTTGAGTATTTCACTGGCTGATTTGAGATTAGCACACCTTTTCCCCAGGTGAAACAATGATATGTGCTACTGTGGACGTGGATCCCTTCTGAATATTCTATTGGGTGGATTGAGTCATTTTTCTTATGTTTTTAATCCTTTGTAAAGCTTTCTGTACGTCTTTACTAAAGTTTAGTAGGGATTTACTATTTAGTGCACTTTCTTTTCAAGTAAGTATTGGTAATTTATTTTTTTCTGGTTCATGTATGAAGAATCCCAGTGAGCCTTTTTGAAAGCTCATCATTGGCAGTTACTTTAGAACAGCAATTTATTGAAAGGTACTGTATTAGAAATGTTGTACTGTGCTCCACTCAAGCTATGAAGTGCAAGGAACCATGAAGATTGAAAAATACAGCTGATAGATGTGTCCATTCTCCTCATTTTCTAGCCTTCTTTGAATCCCGGGGGAAGCCAGTCATCAGATGTGGTACTTTTGAACCACTGGAAAGCGAGGAATTTTCAAGTTCAGCGTGGTGACATTGTGTCATTGGTGTGAGTAATTAAAATATGATATTTGGGTTGTATCTTTGGTGATTTAACTGGTAATCCACTGTTAATACCAGATGGCCAATTATGACACTAATGAGCACAATTAAATATAATATGTGTTTTAAAAATTCAATTTTGAAATGTGACAGTCCTATAAAAAGACTTTTACAGTCAAGATATATCAGTTGATTGACATAATTGGTTTGGGTAAAAACTTCTTGATAAACTATTGACTAGTAATTATACTGATGATCCAAAAAATACATGTTTGGTATTACCTTGGAATATTTTGAGGTTTTGCCTCTTGCTTTCTTAGTCTTTGAAGCAAACCTTTTTAGATAATTATGATATTAAATTCAGTAACATTTCTGTATGTCAGAAGCTTAACTGGAAAAGAAATTTGGGAGATTGTTACTGGAGGCTTTTGTTTGGGACCAAAAGGTGGCACTGTTTCCCTGTTAAAATATTATTACCGGTCAGGAACAAAAATTTCATTCTTAGTTGTAAAAAAGGAATGTCAAAGTGTGCATAATTGACACAATGATAAAATACACAGTCCTAGTACATGCTTGAATGGTTTAGATGTGAGATTTTGTTTGTTTTAAAAGTAAATTCACACTGAGAAAACTGCAACAGAACTTGCTTATTTTTTTTTCTGGTTTGAGCTATTTATAAAAATGTTTTAGTCTGATTCCTTCTTTCGGCAGTCAGTGGTCTGGGATAGCAGCTAATGTAGCAATGTTCCTGTTGTTTGTTTTAGTGGTAGTAAAATCTACTATTGATTGAAGGCTTTTTCAATTTGTATTTTTTATTGTTGAATTGCAGTGATTTTTCTTGTTGGATGATATAATTGGTGGAAGCAAAGCAATATGTATTTTTTGTTTTCTTTGGTTAATGCTTTGAAGAAATACTCTATAAAGAGTGTATCTCCTTTAGACTGATCTGCCAGGGATCATTTGAAAACATATTAACTAAATCTGGTTAGTAGCTAATGAATTAAATACATCTGAGTGGAGTTTTGTGTGGCAGACTTCCAGGGACGTGGATTAAATGCTCTCAGGTTTTGAGTGCTTTCTTTAATATGAACCTACTCTTTGGAGTGTTCTTTTATTTTGTCATTCAGAGGACTATTTCTGCAACCTCCTTAAAACCCTTTTGCATGCTGGGAAAGCCTGTTGTATGCTCATTATTCTTTTGCCTGTGGTTTGACAAGGTTACATCCTCACTTAGTCGGTGATGGAGCGGATACCCACCCAAGTGAAAGAGGTCATGCTACAAGCAGACAATTGTGCCATACTTTTTTTTCCATGGGAAACGTGCTGCCTATCTCTTAGCAAGTGCATTTGAATAGATACTGGATGAGTATGAAAAGGCTCTTTGAAACTCAGTGTTGTACAGGTCCATGAAAATATCCTAGCATATCATGGATTATGTTGAAAGGAAAACACTATTCTTATAGGTAAATAATAAAGCAATTTATATTTGTTATGTAAGTTAACTTCAAAAATATATTCAAATTAGAGTTGTTATAATAATTGATAACTATTCTTGGTGAACCATGTATTTAATAAGTCAATTATATGCTATATCCTTGTCATGTACAAAGAGTATAGAGTTTCTTTCATAGCGCTTATTGCTAGCAGGAGCCATTTACATGAAAGAATGCTTGAGTGTTGGCACAGCATTTAACAAGTATTCATTAGAAACATTAAGTTCTGACATGAAATTCTTCTTTAGTCTAAGGCCCTATATATAGTATTGAGAGTATATATTCGATTTTAGAGTTAATATGATTTCTGGACACACTTACAGTTTTACACAATCTATAGACTACATCTTTTCTTAAGACTACATCATTTTAAAAGATTTGTTTGATAAACGCTCATGCACGTTTGCTTTGTGTAAAACCACACTGAAAGTTTTGTTTCTTTACAAAAGGCATATTCTCTGGTCTTAATATAGATGCTGATTTTGAACATCCTACCTATTTCAGAAATGTGGGATGAATATAGGAATACATATCTGAATGTTCAATTTAGATATACTTAATCTTTTTGTTTATAAATGGGTATTAATATTTACTGGTATATAGCTAATCATTGGAAGCAATGTAATATGACATTTTTATATTTGAAAACTTCCCAAGATAGCATTTTATATAGTCAAAATGTGCAGAAATACAGCATTTCTACTGTAATATATATGTATTTCTGGAAAACTTTCAGTTGCAAATTCATACTTAAACTAGTAGAGTTGATGCAACTTTGTAACTTGAACACAAATAATCACAGTAAAAATACGTAGTTTAGAAAACTACATATAGTAGTTTATAAAAGATTTACATAAAATACTTTACATCTATTTACATAAAAGTATGCTTGAGTGTTGGCACAGCATTTAACAAGTATTCATGAAAACATTAAGGTCTGACATGAAATTCTTCTTTAGCCTAAGGCCCTATATATAGTATTGAGAGTATATATTTGATTTTAGAGTGAATATGATTTCTGGACACACAGTTTTACACAATCTATAAAACTACGTATTGTAGTTTATAAAATTTCTAATGAATAAATTCAGTAGATGTAATACCTTGACATTTTCTGTGTTAAGTACTTAAAACAATGGTACCTGAAACAAAAAGTGTGAAGGTGACACAAGGACATGCTGAGGCTTTCTGTAGATACAGGGGCAGAGGGATGGACATTAGCAGTAAGTTGCGGTAGAGAAAAGGTTGTAAGCTGTGTATAAAATATATTGATAGTAGAGGTATGTACTCATTATTGTTTTATGTTACTTTTATTTACTTTTAATAATATGTTTTTTTTTACACAAAGATGAGTGTTAACCTTGTAATAGTTACTTCTAAGAGAAGGGTTGAATGTACAGTACCAGCTCCTCCCTGGCTGCTGCTCCTTGTGTTCTTGGCCTTCAGTTGCTGTTAGGAAAAACATTAATGATGTAAAGGAGAAAATCACATATGACCCAGTGCATCTTCCATATTATACTGAAGTCCTCTGTCTTTGTGCCAGTTACCTGTGACTGACTTCGTTATGGAAACACATGATGTAGCAGAGTAGGTGATCTCTTCTAGTGCTGGGGGTTTTGTCTGGAGCTTGTTCACTGATGCTATTACTAACGGCATTGAAAATCGAGGGAGGGAAACAGGTACCTGCTGGAATATGCTTCTTTGCATCTCTTTATCTTTTCCTAACTCTTTCTTTCCATGAAAAGTTGGTTCTAAGGGAGCTATTGTTTAAGCATGTTATTCAGTAATGTTAATTCAAAAGCTATATTTATTTAATGAAATAACAGCTCATGCAAAATATGACTTGCTGTAATTAAGTCCTCCGTATTCCTGAGTGTACGTAGGTGGCCTCATACTATCTTAGTGGATTTGCAAACTAATAGTAGTGATTAAGGTGGATTTTCTATACCTTGGAATTGACTTTTCATTAACCTGTGTGATGGCCTTACTGCAATAGGCTTAACGTAAATAGCACTCTTTCACAATAATATATCACTTAAGAAGTCCATTGGGACAGAAGCTCTTTTATAATGCAGTTCCAAATAATCACATTAAAGGCATCTTAGCTTTTTTTTCAAAATAATGTTGGACTTAAATTATGAAAGTAACAGACAGTTGGAAAATTCCCATCTACCCATCCATTCATATTAACATTATATAAAGTGTAGTATAATTATCACAACCAGAAAACTGACATTGATACCTTATTAACCAATCCATACATCCAACTCACTCTCTAGTTTCTGGCTAATGCCCTTTCTGGGGGCCAAAGAGCTATTCAAGATCTTACAGTTAAGTTTTAGTTTTCATGTCTCTCTAGTCTCCTTGATTCTGTAACTGTTCTTGTTCTTTCTTTCGTGTGACCTTACCACTTTTGAAAGACTTCAGCCAATTCCTTTTCAGGCTAATGCTCAGTATTTTAAATTTTTGAGGCCAATCTCTCTTTAAAGTGAGAAGCATGGATGTGAGCAGCGGTTGCTGAGGCAGCCGTGGCACTGGTAGCAGCTGAGTGAGGGGGAAGTACTCGCCGAGTAGGCAGCAGGACCGGCCGGGGAGGGCGCAGAGGGGCAGGAGGCTGCAGGTCACTTTTCCAGGCACAGGTGTTTTTGGTTGCTTGGGGCCACAAACTTAGACCATGACTGAAAGTGTCCATGGCTTCTAGAAATAAGGCCATCCTGTAAAATCTATAGCTGTGGGTGCAAGGGAAGAGCCGTCGTGCAGGTGATGGACAAGGCTAAAGTTCATACTAGTATTAGAAGTGACAGAAGAAGGACTAGATCAAGCTCAGGGGTGGAAGACTGAGAGGAGGGAATTCTCATTTAGTGAGTTTCCCTGAATATAGAGATTGTGCTACGTGCTTTAAATACGCCATCTTATTTCCTTCTTATAATATTTAGAGATAGTTATTTTTTTGTGGCATTGAATATCAAGCCCATGGGTGCTCAGCCATTGAGCTATATTACTAGCCTCCTTTATTATTATTATTTTTTAAATTTTGAGACAGGGTCTCATTAAATTGTCATATAAGACTTGAACTTGAGCTGGTTCTGCCTCAGCCCCCCAAAGTGATGGTATTACAGGTATGTGCCGCCGTGCCTGCCTGTGAGATAGTTATTTTTAATAATATGAAATTTAGAGCAGGTAAGTGGCAAATAGGTAGCACCAGCTAGAATTTGAATCTCAGTTTATGTGACCCTAACCTCTGCTGTCTGATATAGTAGGCACATACGATTACTGAGCACTTACTTTGACTACTGACGTTTGTTACAAATCACGTGGGTCATTCATTGTATTTCTGTTGGACAATGCTCTGTCTACACCTTTTCCCATGATACAATGCTGTTCCCTTGGAATGCGTCTCAGGTGAATTAAGATGAAATCTCAAAGTCTGGGGTGGAAAACACCAAGGTAATTGCTATGCAGCAAAGGAAGACCCTCTGCGTGTAGACATTAGACAGGTAAAGATAGGTAGTGT